TGTGGGTCAAGTTAGCATAATCATAACCGTATTTTTTTTTTTGAACAGTGAAGTAAATAGTAAATTAATATTTACTCAAATTATGATTACGAAAGGGGTATTTTCATATGAGAAAATATCATACAATTTGAATTATTTTTTTAATATTGAAATTTTTTTATCTAATAACTTTTATTTAAGTTATAAAAAAATTCTTCCTAGGGTTTTTCCTCCCTAGGGTTTCTCTTGTGCATTGCTTCTAGAGTTGAAAACAGTGGCAATGAGTTTTTCTCTCTAGAGTTTCTCTTTGGTAGAGGAGTTCTTTCATCCCTCCTTTCTTCTTACTCCTCCCTTTCTCCTCTTGATCTCTTCCTTCATCTTGTCGTTGTCTTGCTTTGGAAACTCCAATCCAAGGGACCACAAGGTTTTTTGGTTTTCTAGGATTTACATCTATTGATTTTCAAAAGCTACAATTGGAATTGATCTTGTCAATGAAGTGAGTTTCTCCTATTTAACAGGCAGGAATCTCGCTTTGGTGCATCTCCTCGGATGGGATTTTGGCGGGGGTTGAATTCAATGAATCTAGTTCACACAAGTTCCTGATCAATTAGCCGATTGCCGAAGGAAAGGGATGTTGTTGGTAAGGTTGGCTATGGTTGGCATGGGAAGCCTAATTTTGGGCCCTAATTCCCTTAATGAGTTTCAACAGCATGGGTTTGAAGAGGATCGGCAAAGATGGGATGGGAACATGATTGGGAGTATACGGAGGTGACTGGGGGGTCTTGTGCTTGTTAGGAGAAGGCTTATACCCCTCTTGGTTGTTCTTCAAGAACAAGCAAGGCGGCAACTTGTGGGTTGGGGACTGTTTGTTGTTGGAATCCCTTGCTCTCCCTAAGAAATTGGTTAAATAAGTAAGGTTGTCCAGTAGTTCTTAATACTCATAGTGACTCCCCTTTCTACATTAGTAGCCCTATTTAGCCCATACAACGATTGTAAATTCAATCCCTAGTTGTAGATGGCTCTCTTTACTTAATTGTCTATATTTGTCATGGACATAATTTAAGTCTGTTACTAGTGCTGTATGTTATGCTTTTGATTTTGTCTTTAGGTTATTTTGACTTTGGCTATATGCCATAAGATGAAGATTCTATTGTAATTTCTTATTACTTAATTTATTCCTCTATTTCCCATTAAAAAAATTATAAAATAAATAACTCATTATCACGACTCATATATTTTTAAGTGGCAAAATTAGGGTGGAACTGCTAAATTTGGTTAGCATTTACTAGGTCTACTCCAGTACCTAATACTTTTTTTTGGGAATGGAAAAAATATTCTCTCATTTCCCTCCATTTCATGCTTTCCAACAATATATATATATATGTATATATTAACATGGGAAATTTGAGGGATGAGGATTTTTTTAAAGTTGTTGGTAAGAGTCAAATTATTAATCAACTAAACCCAAACATTAAGATTTGAATATGAACTATTGGACTTAAAGGTCCGGTTTAACAATATTTAACTGTATACTAGTAGGACACAATGTTCACAAGCCAAAGTTCTTTGGTTTTATATATTCTGAAAATCATTAAAAATTCTTCCATGGTGTGTAGGCGCCTAGAGAGATGGTCCCTATGCTTTGCTTTTATCTTATACCTATACTCTTTCAAGAGTGAACTTGATACTCATGTTAGAAATTTTTATGTATGTTGCCGCTAATTGTATTTGGTTTTTGAAATTGGGTTAAATAGAAAAACCAGTAAAGCTTAATAAAGTGATGTGATTCAAGTGGGCTTAGATTTTATCTCAATTTTATATAGTGTGATATGAATAGGTATAGCGCTTGGAATTAAAGGTGGGCTACTTGAGGGGGGCCCAAAAGATTATTATAATGGGTTAGGTCTTTTCTTCCATTCAAAAAACCCTACTTCTATAAATAGTAAAGTTAGGGAGTAACATGATCCATTAGTTGTCACTATACAGAAGTTTATTAAGGAGAGGAAGACCTAAATCCCAATATTAAC